TGTGTGTGTGTGTGTGTGTGTGTGTGTGTGTGTGTGTGTGTGTGTGTGTGTGTGTGTGTGTATAATTGCTATGAATAATTCTCATTCATATTTAAATTACCAATTAATTTCCTTAAGATTGCATTGCTGTAAGACTGAATTCTTGGACTTAACAATGACTTCACGAAGAAAGGAAAAAGGAAAAGAGTTTATTCTTCGAATACATCTAATAATATAAATACTGCGAATTATGATAAATAACTTATCTGGAAGATAAAAAGCAACAAAAGATACGAAACATTTTTTTTATGACAGATATATATATATATATATAATAATTCAAACAACATTTAATAACAAATATCTAATATCAGGAATGTAAAAAATTTGCTAAAAAGTTTTATCATAAGTCATAAACGCTATCTGAAGTACGTTATTCCGCTGTTTGTTAAAATAGAAGAATCGGTGCTCATCAATCTCCAAAGGTTTGTCTTGTTTAGAATGACATTCCCGCAGCTTCAGGTTCGCGACAATCGGCCGCATTTTTGTCGTCGAGATTTTTGCGTGGTCGCTGCCACGCACGTACGAATCGGTCGGTGAAAGTCATTTAACACACCGAGTTATACCGAGAATATACCGGTATAATCTGTTACGATATTTGACGCTGGCGAAATTCCGATGTTACACACGCGTGCGAATATAAATCCACGGTAGTACGTATCTCCGTGAGATCTCGCTTTCGTTTGCGAATATCGTACGTTTCATTGCCGCGTAAACGTCATAGTTTTTCATGGAAAAAGCGTTCGCACGATAAATTTAGGAATAGGGAAACGGCTCTCCCGCGTATTTAAAACCGTCGATTAATTTTCCTTTAGGAACGCGCTTTATTCTCCGTGAGGCCGAATTCCCGGAGCCTACGGTACGATGACTTCGCGAAACAGAAGGGAGTAAAGAATGCATAATTCTTAGAGGAAATACCTCTGCCATTGTAACAGCGGCGGCAACAGCAACACCGGTGTGTATGCGTGCGTGTGCGTGTAGGACGTTGGTTTCCCGGCGAATTCCTGCGTACGAGCGGTATCAACGTCGCGAGTGTTCGCGAATCGCGACAAGATTTACGTACCTAAGGAGAAACGCGGAAGCGACAGGTATATCTACCTTTTCCACCTGTTCTCGTTCATCCTCTGACGACACGAATGCTCGATATTCGATGGAAAGCGACGACGATAAGTTCATAGCGAGGAATCTCCTTAGAATATACAATTAATGTATCTACTATTAAATATGGACGGAGAGAATTTTTTTCTTAGAGTTTATCCTGAAAATATGATATTCGTGGGACAACATTGTATTACGAAGAATTTTAATGTAAATCTCTCTCATTCATTATAATAAACCTACAATAAAGTATAAAATAAGTTTGATTATAATTTTAACTGAAGTGCATGATAAAAATCTTTAAAATATTGTATTGTACCACACCTATCTCGTATTTCTAGGATAAATTTTAAAAGAAAATTCTCTCCGTGTATAAATACCCTATTAATATATTAAATATATATTTCCGCTATTTAAATGCACTGTTTATATTGTTAATCGTTGAAAGTTCTAATAAATCTCGTGGTCTGCGAATCTGAGGTATTTATCATACACAATTCTGATCTCTCGTCGATTTAAAAAGATACTATACAATACAGGTTCTGTGCTCTCACAGTAAAAGGGGCTCTGCAATTTTACATTTAAGTCTGTAAAGACTTTTGGTGCGAAATCAAGTTGGGAAACGCTGGTATAGGCAATTGTAAAGAATAATACATAGATCGATCGGTAATTCCATCGATACGTGACGGATTCGTCCACTCGAGCGGTGAATGATTATTGCGCGTTCTATTATCGGATAAGAGGTATGCGGCGTGCTCTAATATGGCCTCTAAATCCTCTCGCGTTGTGGCTTATCGTTTAAATCATATTAGTGATCTTAAAGCTTATGTACTTATCGCGCTGTTAGAAATCACATGCTCTCTCTATTCCGAATCAATTATTTTCTGCGATTTTTATCTTCGGAGGTTTAAAAACAATTCTAACAATAACTTACAAAACATTTTCTAACATAAAATATATACAGTTCTAACGATAAGTGAAATCAATTTGAAGTGGGCGTAGGTAATTCGCAAAGAGAATTTGAAAATAGAAAAATGTTTTCGTCTACTTTCTTTTTATTTTCATGCAGTCTCAACGTTAACTTATATATTATTCTTATTAGAATTTAATTTATATATTATAATTTCTTTATACACGGTGAGAATTTTCTTTTAATATTTATCCTACAAATATGGTAGTTGTGGTGCAGTATAATATTTTAAAGATCTTTACCATACGCTTCAGTAAAATTGATTAAACTTATTTTATATTTTATTGTAGTTTTATTAATGAATGAGAAGAGATTTACATTAAAATTCTCCAAAATATAATCTTGTTCCACGACTGTCATACTTTCAGGGTAAATTCTATGAAAACATTCTCTCCATGTAGAATTTATATACTCGTATACACATTACATTTCGTTATATTGATATATCAATACTTCTCGGTTATAAATTGCTCTTCTACCGATCTGCGCTCTCTAACATTTGATACAAAAATTTTTGGGTCATACGTGATAGCCAGGACCCTTTTCCTACTTTCCCTTTAATTCGATGCTTGTGCTGTTTCCCGCGCAATCGTGCAATCTCAACATATAATAACAGCGCGAAATCATCTCGGCGAATTTGCGAATGCCA